CAGGGCACAAGGCCTAGGTGCTGACTTAAAGGGAGCACCAGAATGGAGGTCCTCTGGGGAGTCTGTTCAGCCAAATCCACTGTTGCACATTGCCAGATGACAGTACTTGGGGAGGAATCAGGAATCCAGGCTGGGGGCAGCAGGACTCAAGGCTTTGGCCACAGGGAGTGAGCATAGGAGTTCCCTGTAGCTGGTGGCTCATAGTGGCTCACATTCCAGTATTATCCTTTCCACCCCCCTCCCTCAAGTGAGCCATGGGGGGAAGTGTTGGTGTGACCAGCAGCCAAAATCTGAATGCACTGTAGGTGCCATCTTTTTACCACCAAATTCACTGTTGCCCATTGCTGCAGGTGATGGGAATTGGCAACATTCAGTGAGTGGGGGAGAGGAGGGAAGCATCTTCCACTGGGGGTGTCAGGGGAGGCACAAGGCTAAGGAAGGCACCAGAGCAACTGGGATGCAATCCCTATGCTGCCTTGAGTGCAAACTGTACGAGATGTGTCTGTCACAGGCATGATGCAAGGGCACAGGGAATCACAAATTGGAGGCAATTAGCAACCAATAGCAGAAGCTGGGTTATGAGTGGTGGTCTGTCATCAGTAAAAGGTTGCTAACTCCTGTCTTAGCTGGGTGGAAAAAAAAATATCCTCCCTTGGAAAGGCAGGTGCTAGTGGTGGACTTAACTATACAACATTTTGAATCTCTGACAGAACTTAATCCAATTATTTTAAGAACACCACATACAACCTCATTAAATATTTGTCTAATGCATGGTAGGCTAAGTAGACGTTGGCTTAACAGATGGGAACATCCAGGCAAAAATTATTGGCTATCCCATCTGTCATCATTGGGCTACAGGTAGGGACCCTCATATGTGTCCTTTACCTCTGGGTAGAACTTTAAAGCACTAGTCTGAGGAAGCACCACCCTGGACAAGACAGGCTTTCCCAGGCACAGAGATGTAGGTTATTTATGGCTCTTCATACCACGTGGATGGAAAAGCCTACACTGGCTTTTCTCTTGTGGATCCTATTAACCACACTGCAACTGCCATGCAGTGCAACCTACACTCAGCTCAGTACACTGAGCTGGCAGCAGTGCTGTCCCTTGGAGGTTACTCCTGTGAATGGGGATCTCCATCTGTATTTAGACTCTGAGTGGGTTTACTGCCATAGTGGGGAAACAACCTGAATAATTCAGATGAAACACCAGTGTTCATGCAAATCTGTATAAATGTATTATTGGCCTTCTGCAGGGTTTCTGTAGAAAAGGGGCTAATTTCATAAGGTGAAAAAGGTCATCACCAGAAGGAAGGGGCCCCTGCTCAGTGAAACAATCATGCTGATCTAGAGGCAAAACAAAGTATGCTCAATGCTTTGCCATGGCAACCACCGAAGAAGAGCTAGGAGCCAATGGCTAAAATAAAAAAAACACTAAGAGGAGTCAGAAGAGGCTTCTAGTCTATCAGAAACACAAGAAGTGGATGCCTCACTCAGGTCGCTATTCAAAAGGGATAATGCAAGTGGCAAGCCTCTTAAAGTCTAGCCTGGGAGTGATCTGCTGGTGTCAAAACCTGGAGGAAGGGGTGGGTTGTTCCTAAGAACATCAGGAATGAGATTATGTATTTGGCTTATGATTATGGAGGTCATCACAGGGTAGTCCATACCAAAGAAAGACTGCAGCAGTCAGCATAGTAGCCTTCCACTGGAACAGATGTGGAAATCTACATGCAGAACTGCTTACAAAGTATAGCAGGTGGTGCTGACCAAACAAGAACAAAAGTTCCCACTACGTCCACAAAGGGTACATGGCCCCTGGCACCGAACCCAGATGGACTATATAGGGCCCTTATAAACACCACCGAAGGGGAGTACTTATTTACTTCTCATTGTAGATGGTTTTAGAAAATGGCTTTCCCTGTGAAAACAAAAACAGTCCTGAATGCATCCACGGGTCTCACTGAGTATGTGGTTCCTAGGTGGTGTATTTCTACTGTCATAAAATTGGATAATGGCCCCATGCTTTACAGGGGAATTAATCCAGTTAGTCAGTAGATTGTACAGCATTAAGTAAAGGATTTCATATGCCATAGCATCCCTGGGCTAATAGATATGTGGAATAGCTTAACTGGAGATTAAAAGGCTTTAAAAAAAAACCCTGTGTCCAGTACAGGGAAAGATTGGGATGTGAAGCTGCCTCAGGTTTTAATGGCTTTACAAGCAGCAGCCAATGCCTCAGCTGAGTTCAGTTTTTTTTGAATGGACAACTGGTGCAATTACCAGAAGCCTGGCATGTTCCAGCCCTGGAGGAATGGCAAGCCATGTCTCTAGGTAGGCCTGGGGAATAGTTAGCTGCAAGGTTAACTGAAGTGAGTCAGCACACAGCTTGGCATCTAGGCAGGAATCAATGAAAACTGCAAAAAGGATTTTTACATCCTAAGAGGCAGACCTAAAAATTAGAAGCCAGGTAATGGTGAAAAGGTTTTTGTGGGAAAAACAGGCCTTCTCCTCTCAACAGCAGGTCCCATATGTGATCACAGACAGGTTGAGCCCTACCTTATACTAGGTGTGCAAATCCATGTGAGCCAGATTTTTGAAATGCTGTAACAGAAGACAGCTAAAACACTTTCAATGGGAAGTAACTATGAAGGAGGGTGACAAGCGGGGAGCATGTGGGTAACACTGGAGAAAAGCGTTTGTTTCTGTTTACTTAGATTACGATGGAGAGATGTGTTAGGAGGCAGTGGTCACTGCTGTGACCCTGTGCACCACGGTGATCCGTATCTACGTAATCTGATGCTGCAAGACCCAGCACAATTTGTCATCACCAGCATTGGCTGACTTAAAACAGGAGCCACTGGTTGTGGGTTGGCTGGCCTTAGGAAAATGGAGAAACAACTGAGATTTCCCATTCTGCTTTCAGTCTGAGAAGCTGTCAGGTGCCATACATCTTTAAGGCAAGCATGACAGTGATGTTCAGAGCAGATTCCAAGATTTTCCAATTCAATGGCTCCTCTTGGGTGCTCAACACAGTAGTACAATTAGGTTGTTGCCCAGCAGAGATTTGTGTAAGCGGTGGGTTAGAGGAAGAGGGAAGAGAGTGTTTGAAGACCTAGAGAGGGGAAAAGACATTGGGGAGCTCCTGCAAAGGCTGGAATTGCTTCTTGTTGGGAAGGATCAGATAAAACATTCAAACCCCATATAGTCTGGAACAACTTCACGCTAATACAGGATGTAATATGAGCTTGCTGACTAAACACTTTATGCTTGGATACCCACCAAAATTTGACACTGGTCCCCTACACATGCACTTGCTACCAACACTGCCGTGAAATTCTTAGGAGAATTGGAGGAAGATTTCCCTTTTGAAGAAGGAGATCCACTGCAGGTAAAACTAGATACTGCCACCTACCTATTAACAGACGTATGCAGTTATTGTGTACAGTTCTGGGCCCCACATCTCAAAAAGGATGTAGTAGAACTAGAAAAAGGTACAGAGAAGGGCAACCAAAACAGTCAGGGGCATGGAGCAGTTGCCATACCAAGAGAGATTCAAAAGGCTAAAACTTCAGTTTGGAAAAGAGAAGGCTGAAGGGGGATATGATAGAGATCTATTTGAAAAATCATGAAGGGGATAGACCAAGTGAATAGAGAACTGTTGTTATTCACTAACTCCCAGAATACTAGAACTAGAGAAATTAGTAGGTGACAGGTTCAAAGCTAATATGAAGAAATACTTTTTTTATGCAATGCATGGTTAATTTGCAGAATTCATAACCACAGGACCTGGTGGAGGCAGATAGCAAAACCGGGTTCAGTGAGGGACGATACATTCATGGATAGATCTATTAATGACTACTGAAGAGAATGGTTGGAGATGTTTCCTCTGGTATCTCTAAATCAATAATGGTAGATGCCAGGGAGGATACTGAATAGGGGATAGATCACTCTAGAGATATCTGGTTCAATGCTCTCCTTTTACAGCATTCATTTCTGCCAGCTGGAAACAAGATACTGGGCTACGTGGACCATAGGTCTGATCCAGTAGGGCACTTATGTTCTTACGTTTGCTTATGACATTAAGTATAAGCTTGTGGTATGGCACTTATCCACAAAGCAAGTTTTGATAACCAGAAAAAACTCCTGCAATAAACAGGATTAAAAAATACCCCTCCCAAACCCAAACAAATGATAGAAGCATGATTTAGAACCTAAACATTTAAAATATTAATAAAACCACAAAGTGCAGTTGACACTGTTTTAGGAGCTTCTAGCACTGGTATGGAAGTCTTAAACTCAGTAAACCTAGAAGTAATAAAAAATAAGTTGACAAGTATTGCCACACACTGAGCGCAAGGATTTGAGCACCAGTATCACATTAAGCTTACAAGCAGTAATTAAACCAGAACGCAGTGAAAACATCTATAAAAGTGGCACCTTAACTGAAAGGATAGTTTGGATGATGGTGAAACAAGACTTCAATTTAGATAAAGATGTGTCTTGGGTCATAGCCTGTCCACGAAAACAAAGAGAATTAGAAAGCATCATAAAGGAAATAGGGATCACTTCAAAACTGGGAGCATGGTTTTGATCCAAGAGGCCTCCAGGAGTTTGTCAACATTTTCCATGCAGAGATAAGCATGGTGGCAAGTCCAAACTGGACCATGTATTTTCAATAGCAGTGAAGTTTATTCACTGATTACATGGGCTGGGAATGAGGAAACTGTCTGCTCAGTAGTTTCCATCAGGATAGTAGCATGGTTTTGTTTCAAAACTTCAGGAAATCTTTAACTGGATTTGGAATCACAATGGAAGTTGGCAGCCCAATCTAACTACATCTGTCCAATCAAAATCATGAGGGGTGGGTTTGTCAGCTGGAGCAGTTCACCTCAATAAACGAAGAATGTTAGATATGCTGAAAGGAAACACCAAACTCCATCTTTCTCTGTCCCTGTTTGTCTTCCTTCCCTGTGGGAAAGGGCAAAGATCATAACAAGGTGCTCACTGCTCCTGCGTGCCCCAGGAGATATAGTCAGGCCGTGTGGCTGCATGGTACTCATCGACTAGCTGCTGCACAATCTCACGGGAGTTGTCCAGCTCATCAAAGTTGTCTTTGAAGATGTCCTCCTTGCGGAACTGCTCCAGGAAGGCCTCCCTCTTGCGCAGCTTGTCATACTGCCGGCATGTCCGCTCGAACAGCTAGGATGCCACACAAAACAGATGTGAGAGTGGGGAAGGACCAGGAAGCAAAAGGCTGGGTGGGAACATGGGAGCTCCTAACCTTAGCCAACCAGCCAAAGGACATAAGGGGTATGAGCAGAGAAGTCTCTGGAGGGGAATCCTAGGGCAGGCAAGCCCCCTGTGTCTGCCTAGCTTAGCAGTGGTGGAGGGGGTGCTGATACAAAGCAGATATGTCCCAGTGTGTTAACCAGGTTTCCTCGTAGGAAGAAGCAAGCAGCTCAGTGCAGCATTGCCATCTGCTTTCACATTCCCAGGAAACTTCTGATTTGGGCTGCCCATGCAGCTTACTAGACTGAGTAAACAGCCTGTATTCCCAGGGCTACTTCAACAAATGGGGACAAATGATCTACTTAGGCAGGGCTGGATTCCTCTAGCATCCAACTCTTGCAGATCCCAGAGTCCCTGGGAGAAAAATGAACATCGAGACTTCTGCTCCAGGAGACTACAGCAAAGGTGCTTGACACGTGTGGCCTGCATCAAGCCACTTGACAGTGGCTAAAGTTGGATTCGGAGGGTACCCGGTATGCTCACCGAGGAGATGCTGGTGTGGTTTGCCATCATCAGACCACTGACCCGGTGTGCAGATGGCAGGTAAGGGGACTTTCTAGAGAGTGCCACCTGGATGCTGGCAGGCCCCCAGGGGATAAAGTTGGCCAGCTTCCTCTCACGGATCCTCTGCAGGCTCTTGTGAACCTGGCAAGATAAAAGCAGGTCAGCACCATAGACATAGCAGCTATATCTGCCAATCAGCTGGCAAGGCAAGGTCAACATCCTTAAAGGGGCCAGCAAGACCACCCAGTCCCTGCTATCCCCCAGATGGACTGGGCAGGTTCTGTGTGAATGAGGGTCTCTAAGGGGCACGTTCCTACCACTGCTCATAGGCCTGGGTTTCAACAATCAGCTCCCAGGATGGGCAGACTTCTGTAGGCAGCAGGGTGTGAACACAGAGACAGCCTTTCAAAGGACTTGGTTCAATGTAGCTGGGCTGAGCAGCAGTCAGCCCTTCTCTGGCTTTCCATCAACTGTTTTAGGGACCCTTCAATCCAATCCAACCCCACCCCTAGTAGCATTATGACCCAATCTATTCCCTTCATCTGGGAGCAGACATGTCCCACGTGCCTGTGTTGGGTCCACCTCTCCTTGGATGATATTAAGGATGGCAATGTAGCAGTGGTTGGTCTGTCTGTCTCGCCCAGTGGAGACCATGACGTTTTTAGGCTGTAACAATCTTCTCATCACATCCAGAACTGTGGTCTTCCGCACACTGGCCACCTGCAAATGCCAGCAGAGAGAACTCAGATGGATGATTCATTCATGCATACAGCAGAGTGCTGGGTGCACCCGCCTGTGTGGCGCCTCTGCACAGCACACGGAGGTCTATGCTGAAGTTAGATCAATTGCAAAAATAAGGTCATTATGGAAGACTCGTACCCTTTTGAATCATGCACACAGCCCCAAATCCACAGGCAAAGGAGAGAAGCCACTGAAGCCATGTAACAGCTGAAGCAAAATTGCTACTGTTGTGCCTTTCCAAGACAAAGGGAAGCAGCCAAGAGCCATTCTGCCCCCTCATGCATGGGGCTAATAGCAGAGCTCAGCCTGAACCTGATGAACAGGGGAGGAGAGGGAACATACAGAGAGTGAGTCACTCCATCCTCTGCAGCCAAACGCATAAGTATTTAGCGAGGCAACGAGCATGCAGGGACGGAATAGGGGCACAACACTTAAGAGAGGAGTTGATCTGCTGTGATTGCTACTGACCTCACTACAGTCAACACCTTTCTACCACTTCACTGCAGTGGTGGATTGACCGTGCACAGAGCCAGTGTGGTCACAACACTCCCCCATCTCCCGTAACACACTCGAGCTCAGATGGAATTTGCTACAGTTGGAATTGTGCCCCAAGGCAGTCATTCTAAGGGATAATCATCTGTCGTTTAACATAAAGGGGGAGGCATACTTCAGTAAGGGGAAATTTCTTCACTAGAGACCAGAAATCATACTCTGTACTCAGGGGCTCACATAGTGGCACTGTGCTGGGCAGGGCTGCTGTGCAGTGGTTCTCCAGTCATTGAAGGGCTATGTTTTGGTTACGTGGCTCTTGCATGTGGGCATTATGGAAAGCTGACTTCACTGCTTGCTGGTGTCAGATGGACAGTCAACTTCACCTGCTGCAAGTATTTAGCATGGAGAAAAAATAAACTCTAGCATGTGCCACTGCTCAGAAGGGTGCTTATACACATCCATGCAGGAGACCTGATGGACCTTCTAAAGACAGGAACGGACTGTTTACTGGAAGGTGCAGGAAAAATTGTTTCCTGATACTAACTTCCTATAGCTCTATGCTAGGGACAGACACAGTTTTCCAACCAGCTTTCTGCTGGTGTGTAGAGGTCATGCCCCAAACACAAGGGCTGGGGCAGGTCAAGGACAGACGTCAACTAAGCTGCTGGCAGGCTCCCGGTACTCCTCCAAGAGAAGTCAGAACACATGCTCGTACCCATTTCTGAGCCAGCAGCCTTTCCGATTTACTTTTCTGAGTAACATCCTGGGGAAATCCATCTGATGAGAGGAGAAAAAGCAGTGGTTTGCTCATACTGAGCTACCACACTTCCCCATATTTCAGTAGGGCCTTGGTCCTGGCTGGTGCAGATGTGCCCACTGCAGGAGGGTGATCAGGGAGTACAGAATACATGTGCAGAAACATAGACTACTATCCTACTGCTTTCTAAACTCTGATGATGCAGCTGGTGACTGTACTGAGGAGGGGAGGTCAGGAGTTCTGCAGATGAGTACTTCCTACCAAGGCTTTGCAAAGAACAGCAGAATCCTGCCCCAAGGGAAATTGTGGTTGCTGTTAGCTGACAAGTCCCTCCAATTAAATTGATGGGACTGGAAGAATTTGCTGGCAAAGGATGAGGGTGCAGACAGCTGTAACAATCAAGATGTTTCAAATGCCTTTGAAACGTTTCAAAGGGTTAGCTGTGCATGCGTACTTTCTAGAAGTACCTGAAACACTCTCAGAGTTACTTTTTACAATGAGATAGTGCTTGGGAGCATTTTGATTTTTGTTATCTATACATGCAGAAAAGGGCCAGAACCAGGCAAGAGCCAGGTACTCCTCCTCCCTGCTAGCTCTTCTCTTGGGGAGACCCCTGCCATTGCCAGAGCTGAGCCCTTCAGCCCCAATCCCCTCTACCCCTCCGTTCTGAAGGGGAGAAGAGACTCGGGAATCTCTTGCTGTCCCCAACCCCTGCTTTTCCCTCTACATCCCCACCCTAGGAAGGCAGTAGAGAGGGCTGCAATATTTTTTAAATGTTCCAGCTGAGAAAGGCCACAGGGGCCATGTGCATGTCCCCCAGCTAGAATGTTTACTTTTTGAAATGTTTCTAAGTGTGTTTAATATGGAAGAGTTTCAGTTGGTACTTCTGTCTGTGCCCTGTGGTAAGTTGGGTTAACCAGCATTTGATGGTTGCCTGAGGGTAGACATCTGCCTCATGGGCCACACACAGGCTGTTGCTGTCATGAGGTAGGTCAAGCAGAGCAGGGAATGGCAGTCTGTCGAATGCCCTAAGCCAAATGAGGAGGCTGCTGGGTTATATGGTAGCAGGGAAGAACCAAGATAGAGAAAACAATTTAAGCCCAGAGTAAGAAGCTAGGACATAGCGCAGGTGTTGGCCATGGCTCCAAAAGGCAGCAACAGGCATGCATGGGAATGAGACAGGCCTGGAGGAAGCCCCTGGGCAGGAGAGAGCCCTGTGAAGTAGGTCAGCACTTACCGACTGGTCTGTGGTGAGTGGTGTGTAGCCAGTCATGAGAAAGTGCAGTCTGGGGGTAGGGATCAGAGAGGCGATCAGGCCAATCAAATCATTGTTCATGTACCCAGGATACCTAAGTGTTGTTGTGCTGGCTGACATGATGGTAGAGACCTGGTGGAGAGAGAAGGAACACAGTCAGAGACTGGGGAACAGTGCACTTGGGAGTGAGATGTCAAAACCCAGAGCTCAATTCCACAGCAATAAAAGCACATCTGTACAGATACGGACAGAGCCAAGCTCCTTGCCCCAGCAGAAGCCTTTGCTGTAAGGCCCCAGCATGACTTCTATCCTTCAACAGGACAGATCCAGGCCAAGCAGCCAGAGACTGAGGCAGGTCAAGACTAAATCAGAGGATGCCAGATTAAAGTATTTGGCAGACTTCTCAAAGTGAACACTCTGTACCAGCTGGTTGATCTGGGAGAAGGATGGGTTCTGAATGTGCAGCCGGTCTGTGGCAATCCGATTCAGAGCAGTGTTGTCCAGAACCACCTGCAAAAGAGAGAGGGCTGTGCTCAGCTACCTGGAGAACTCTTAGAGGCAGCTGAATGATACACAATGTCACAAGTGAGAACACTGAGAGAACCATCAGTCTCTGCTCAGAGTGCTGGGCCCAAATGTCACAGCACAATGAAGCACTGTGCAATGACAAAGATGACACTCAAATTGATTCATTCCGAGATGGCTGCTATTCTGGAGCATAACCAACACTCCATGGGAAACTCTCCCACTCCCATTTTGGCTGCACGCCCCAGAGTCCTCCCAAGACAGTGCTGACCCAAATGTCTGTCTCCAAGACAGTGCAGTGCAATGTCAAAGCAAGCGAAAAGCATGAGGGGAGTGAGAAAGCCCACTGCTTAGCAGACACAGACCAAGAGACTAGAAATTCTCATGCAAACTGGACTGGATGAAAAAGTGTCTTGGCTGAGACATGTCCACAGGTCTGGGTGGGAGCTGGAGATGTCTTTATTGCCAGGCTGAGGCCCCTGGAGAACAGGGGTCACTGATAATGAAGACCTGGGGTAGGGCCCAAGGGGAGCTATGTTTGAGTAGAGTGTTTTAAGTCAGATTCTTCTCTAGCTGGCTTCTGCTTTCACTAGCCTCAGGACTGAAACAGAAAGGAGAGCAGTGGAAGCAGAGCCAGCATTAGCCTCTCACTGCTGCAAGCAAGTTTGTCCTATATTTAGAAGACAGCCCCGCATAAATGCAGAAAGGAGTGCCTCAGAGCTCCGGGCACAGGTTCAAAGCCCTGTAATTCCCAGACTATGGAATGGCATAGCCTTTCCGGGGGCAGGTATGGAGCTCTATACAATTTGCTTTCCAGGTCTCATTTGTTCTGCACAGACACTAGCATGCACTGTTATGACATGCTGGCTGATACTGCTTGCCCTGTGGCAAGCTACATTTCAGAGCTGATGTGGAATACGGGATCCTACATAAACACAAGGAACAACATCACTACTGATTGACAGCTGTGCTGGCCTCGACAGATTGGAGGTCCGATGGTTCCTGAAGTGGGAGGTGAGGGCTGGCTCACTGGTGTCCCCACTCCGCTTCAAATTGCAGCAGGATTCTTACCACACAGTCAGCATTCTGGGTCAGCCGCTTGAGAGTCAGCAAAGAGTTGTATGGCTGGACCACGACATCGCTCATCTCATCCTGGTTTGGGAAAACTGAATAGGTCTCCACCAGCTTCTTGGGATATCTGAGTGAGTGAGCCCAGACATCAAGAGTTAACCTCATCAATCCTGCTGTCAGTGCTTCCCTCCCACGAGTTCCCTTCTCAGTCTCCAGGGTTCAGGACAGTGGTGAGTCACCCACAGTGCATGCCAAAGTCTGCTCCCAGGGAGGAAGAAAATTTGTTCCACCAATGCCTGCATCCAGCAGCATGGCAGGAAGCCATCAGACAAAGCCAAAGGCAAGGCTGAACCAGCCACTGGATGAGTAAGCAGCTGCTCACAAGCAAAGCTGCATGTGGGGACAAGCAAGGTAGCAGTGCGGGAATCCTGGCTCCAGCCTCCTACCTTCATTGGTGCAGCTGATCAGATCAGATCAACTTGAAAGGAGACAAAGACACTGAACAGAACAAACTCCATTTCAGAGACTCTGCAGCCCCTGGGTATAGCAGGAGCCATCCCTTTTCTCCAGATAACCTGCCGGGGACTGCACGAGACAGTGTTTGGGTGGGGACAGTGGAACAGGCCCTAAGGGTGTGGACACACGTAACAATTAAAATGTTTCAAATGCCTTTGAAATGTTTCAAAGGGCATTTCGTCGTGTGTACAAGCCCTCTGACACGTTCTAAAAGTGGCTGGAACACTCCAGTGTATTCTCTCTCCTTATACGAGGTACTTTTTTGGAATGTTTCACTTCGTTACGTCTGGAATGGTGGGAAGGAGAGCAGGCAGATGGCCTGCCAGCTGCTCTGTCCCATCAGATCCCTGGGGGTCCCTGCCAGATGTCAGGCCCTTCAGTGCCAGTCCCCCTACCCTCCACCTCTCTGCCGGACTGTGAGTGGGAAGAGGTGGGGATAGGAGAGATTGGAGCTGGGGATCCCCCTTCCCCAACCTGTCTCTTCTCCTATCCCATCCCTAGAGGGAAGTGGAAGCAAAAAGTGCTGGTCCCAGCAGCCTGGTCTAGCACCCCATGGGGGCACATGTCACCCCTGACTGAAATGTTTCCAAGTGCATTTCACTTGAAATGTTTCAGTTGTTGTGTCTGTCCGTGACCTGAGTCAACACTCTTCAGCTTCCAGAAGTCCCAGGCTGGCCTAGAATCTGCTGAGGTGAAGAGGCTAATGCTGAGTACTCACCTGTCATTCAATCTCTCCAGCAGATAGGAGCCTAACCCAGAGCCCGTTCCGCCAGCAATGGAGTGACACAGCACAAAGCCCTGGAACAAAGCAGAATGTGGACAGCTCAAGGGACCGACTCAGCCTCTCAAGTGAGATGGAGCAGAGATGAGCTCTGGCCATGCCATGCAACAGAGCCTGGGTCAGCACAGCTGGCAGCTGACTGTCTCTGGATCTGTGTCAAGAGCCACTAGTGGCAGTCAGGTGACATCACTGAACATCCTTCAAGCCTTGTCTCTGAGACAAAGTCCTGCAAACTCAGCTGCCCCCATCCTGCTCAGGAGCCTTTTAGATCCCTCCCAACCTTGGAACACAGGTTAAAGCATCACAGATATCCCTCCCTGAGCTAAGCATCCAATCAGTTGTAACACAGGTGAGTTCATAAGTTCAGGCCCTTCCTCTATTTCCAAATCAACCTACACCTGTCCCTACCAATCTTAGTGTCCCTAGAGGAAAGGCTCCTCCCTTTCTGACTCCAAGCTAAACACTCACCTGCTCCAGATCCCCACAACCTACTCCTTCTACAGTCATGTGTTTCCTTTTCCTGTTGCAGTGCAACAGAATGAAATAAACACATGGGTGCTCTGACCATCTCAGCAAAGGGCATGATGAAACTTAGGACAGTCAAGGTGATGTCAGATAAACAAAGCAAAACCAGCTGAAGAGATGGTGATTTCTTCCCCTGACTCCCCTCCTGCCTCTGAGTTACAGGACTCCACAGTGTCAGTGGCAGTAACAGGAGGCTGAATTTCTCAGTCAAGTGGTTTCACAGTTACTGATCCCCTTTAAACCTGCTTAAGAAAGTGAAACTGTAGCTGCCTCGGGTTCTTCACACCTTCACACTCTAAGGATTTCATGGTAGCCAACAGCTTAGGCTGGCCCAAAAGCTGGACTATGTCTGTCTGCTGCCACCTTGTGGTTCTAAAGCGAGCATCCATTCAAACCACATGCATAGCAGAGCAAACCAGCAGGGTACAGATTGGGATGGGGGCATTTCATCAGCACCCTTCCTACCCAGCTGTGGAGATTCACTAGAAGCCAAGCTGGGAAGGGAGTGTTTGGAGAGTGCTCCTTTGGGAAAAGGGAGAGGAACTACTCAGTCTGATGCAAGGGGAGATGAAGAGTAGGTAAAGTGGGTAAAGGGAGGCAGCAGGTCAAAATCCCTTCTTAATAACAAGCTCTGTTGGGTGTTTATGGTTTCTTCCAGAAGAGGCCATCACTAGAGGTGTTTAAATTGGATTTGGAAAATGTGTTACAAACCTTGCCAGAGAAAACCCCTCCCCTTCCAAGGGATCATGGGATCTTAGTTTCATAGTTTATAGGGTTGGAAGAGACCTGAACAGATCATCAAGTCCAACCCCCTGCCCTGGGCAGGAATGAGTGCTGGGGTCATAACACCCAAGCCAGATGTCTATCCAGCCTCCTCTTGAAGACCCCCAAAGTAGGGGCCTCCCTTGGGAACCTATTCCAAAGCCTGGCAGCCCTAACCATAAAGTAATGCCTCCTGATGTCTAGCCTGAACCTGTCCTCAGTCAATCTGTGGCTATTATTCCTCGTTATCCTAGGTGGTGCCCAAGGAACAGAGCCTCACTTATTTCCTGCTTGTGCCCCCTGGTGAGTTTACAGATGGCCACCAGATCCCCTCTCAGTCTTCTCTTGT